AATAAAAAAATGACTCTACTGAAAAAACGGATTTCGTTTATTGGAAGTATTGCATTGTTGGTGTCTTCGATGACGGGCCCCGGTTTAGTTACAAGTGAGGCATCTAATTTTTTTTTTTAACTCTGAAGATTTATTATTCAAAAACCTAATCTCTGTCAATCTGTTGAAATAGTACCAATCTTATTTCAAAATGCAGGATGGATAACGTGAGTCAGAGAGAAAAATTTTGATTCAAAAATTCTTGTTGGAATAATACTTACGAAATAATCATTTTTATAATTAGATCAACAATTGTGTTTATATTGATAACATTTTTGAGCGGTGCAGCGTCATTATTTCTATGTGAGACACTAAGTTCGGTAGTAGGTAACGAAAAATTTCAAGTAAGTAATATTATTTTTATATAAGCGTATTTTATTATAATTATTAAGATATTAATGACAACATCAATTAAAAACAGCGCCAAATCGAATTCTCCTCTCTCTCAAACATTCTAATTTCAAACCCCAAAAAACGAATCTTTATCCAAGTAATGCTCTATATCTCAATCCAATCGGTAAACATCGCTTCAATATTAATTTCCGCGCAGTCAATGGACACGCTCCTTGTTTCTCTGGCGGGACGGACTTGTGGGATCGGGATTCATCCGCGACCCGGGCTTTTTTGTGTATATGAACAAAGTCGGTGGAATAGTCCCTTCGGCGATGATTATATGCTGATTACGGCCGGGTATTTGGTAGATATATCTGTATGCTTGTTAATTTTCAATAGTTTAAAGATTTACCGAGTTGAGCATTGGTTTTTTTTCAGATGACATTGGCTATGGTTCTTCCTTTAGCTCTTATGGAATTAGTCGACAACATTAAAGTTCAGATTCGTAAGTATCATTTGAAATACAAAATATTTATTGCTAATAATTAATCAATGATAATTCACAATTAAAACTTACTAGCATAAAAATACTCTTGATAGTTTCTTTTGGTACACTAGTTTTGATCATAATCGGCTGGCTAGTCACATTTTGCATACACGGCCTCGATACCAATTTCGTTCCAACAATAGGAAACGATCAAAGCCAAACTATCGGGACCGTACTTTTCAATTATGCCTTTGTTACGACAGTTCCAAGTTGGGTTAACGACCTGGTAACGAATATATTTAGCGAATTTTCATTCTCTAATTAATTGTTAACTACATAAATTGCTGATTATTAATGAAAAAAAAAGGGCTCAACCGTCTCCATAAGAAAATCCGTATGGTATTCAGCAACAATATCAACAATCGCATATATCGCACTAGGATGCATAGGCGGGATGGCCTACAAAATGGACGTCACCTCAAACATCATTGCGGCGATAAACGCCTCAAAGGAGCGTAGTATTGTTAGTGTGACGACCACGTATCTCTTTCCGTTGACGGTGTTGATTACGAGTATTCCGGTTTATACTATTGTTGTGCGGTATAATTTACAAAGGACTGGGCAGTGTGGGAAAGGTATAATTGAATTTATATGAGCATAATATTCGTCTAATTACTTCATCGTTGTTGAGCTTCTTTCATTTTCTTTCTCATTTATGTATCAGTCACGGCAACTTTTCTCTCGACTATTCTTCCGTGGACAGTCGTAATTCCGTTTCAGACAGGATACTGGTTAAACTCATTCACAAATTGGACAAGTTTAATTTTCACGAGCATTAGCAATTTTATACTGCCCTTCTATTTCTATTATTTGAACGAAAAGCGACGTAGCAACACAAAAGTGGTGGATGAAGTCGACGACGCCTTTAGTATAAAGACAACAGGGAGAGACCTAAATGATAGTGTTTGTGGGTCACCAGTAATTCGATCTCCAAAATCAGCAAAATCAGCGAAATCAGCGAGATCACTTCCGCTCCCGTTATCACGAAACAGTCCTTTATCCAGATCTTCGTCAATTAATAGTGTGCGATCAATAAAGAGTTGGTTGTCAATGCAGGTTATTATTCGGTCAACGTCATCGAATGACCATGATGGCGATGACAGTGTAGCGATGTTGAGCGATGTAGATAATAATGTTAATGAACAAGATAATGACAAGGAACCAGACTCGCCTGATACAATGATTGATGATGAAAATTGCAACAATATTCCAGAAATAAATATCATAGATGAAGATAAGCATCTAGCGCCTTCTTCTAAGCCTTCCCAAAGAACATTATCGGTACCCAAAACATCATTATCGGCACCAACAATAACATTATCAGCACCAACAATAACTCGAGCAGATTATCCCACCGAACAAAATAACATTAACGAGAAAAGTGAAACTAAATCTTTTAACAATTTGTCACTTGCTCCACCAGAATCAGAACCCATTAATCATCGTCGGAGTCTTTCAGCTCCATACTCACTGATAACATCATCTACCACTGCAATTTCTAACAGTTTGGAAGTGACGCAGCAACCCTTTCGACCGAAACTACATCTTGAAATTCCACCAATATTAACGCGTCGAACTTCGTTCAGCCGTCGATCATCACAAGATGAGTATCCACCCTCGCCGCCGCTTTCATCATCTCCTGTCATCCCAATTATCACTGTTAACAATGACGATGGCATAGCTGTCATCGTAGAGTTGAATAGTAATCACAACTCTAGCAGTATCGAAATTAGTAATAGTCATGATGGTAAAATAGTGATGAATAATCAACTTGACTCCTCTTTGAAAAAGTTTGATGAACAAGCGCAGCATCCGCAACGAAAGACATTCAAAGCTTTTCCGATTTCGACACGGAATAGTGTGATTTGTGCAAAAATTTGCGGCGCATTTTCTGTTTTTTTGGTTGGAGGGATTATTTTCTATGATTTCTTGCAGTTAGCGATGGGAAATAACGTGTTTAGTTAGTAGAATTATTTTATTAGAATCTTTTGTTTTTTTATATTCGGGAATTTGAATTTGTTAATAAATTTAATACGAAACACCAAGGATAAATTACAAGCGTTTTTTTTTGATTTATATAATAAATGCATGTCTTTAATTAGTGTTATTACGTAATATTCATGAAACACGAACAATCCATATCGAATATTCGATATCGAATATTCTATATTGTACAAATTATACCACATACATGTACATCAATGTGGGCTGACATAGGATTGTGATGACGGTGCGACTTGAGTAGTTTATTGGGATGTTTTTCTTTTACCAGAGTTAATTTTAAAAAATGGAAGTTTAAGTTATTAAATTGATAATATGAGGGTAAATGCGAACTTTCAAATAAGCAATGAAAAATTTGTTGTGACTTTATAATTATTATTATTTATTTATATTTATAATCACATCTAAATTAAAACAAAATAATATTATTATTAAATATCAGATAAATATTAATAGATTATTTTTTCAAACTAAAATTTTTAATTCTGTCTTATTTAATTAAGTTATTAGGTATTGAGATTTATTTAAATATAAAAATTTTTATTATATATTTATTAAAATTAATATAAAAATTATATAGTAAATAATTTAATTACTAAACTTTGAATCTTAATATCTTAATAAATATATATTCTAAATTTCATAAAAATTGAATTAGTAATTATAAAGTCTAAGGCAACTTGCATAATTTGAAGTTTTAATATTGCAAATTGATAGTGATATTTAAAATATCTTTTTTTAAAAAAAA